ACTTCTCAAAAACATTTTAACTTGGTTAAAAAAATGTTTGAGTGAAAAATGGCCATAACAAGGCAACTTACTGCAAAATAAGAAACACAAAAGAAACATTTCAAACTAAAACAGAATAAAAGCCTTGTAGGGTTTGGCTTTCGATAAAATTAGTTAAAATAGCAAATCTGGAGTTTTACTGCTTACTCAAAATGGGCTGCAACCTGCGATTTGGCCGCGTACAATGAAGTATCTTCCGCTGACTTCACACTTTTCAGACTGTTTTTCAGAAACAGGTTTGGTCTCTGCTGTCTATAATTACTACAGCTAGCTTGTCTACTACTCAAAAACATTTCGACTGGGCTGTGCAAGTCTTACTAGCGTATTAAAAGCACCCTCAGGTAGATTACAGCAGACTTTGTACCAAAATGTTATGCATTAAGTACGTCATTACCCTCTTCAGGTATTTCTAGTTTACTTCTGATAATCCCACAAATCACAAGCTAAATTACATCATACATTCCAGCTGACAAAGCAATCAGGGGCAATTTTTTTTTTAATAGCATGCAATAATCTTCGGTATCATGATTAATTGGTACCTATATAGTAACATGTTCGAGATAAGGAATAACCGCAAACATTTCTCTTTCTCATCAGCATCGACTTACAAAAACAATGTATAATGACCACCTAAAACAAAGGAAAAAAATGAATCATATTTGTGATCTCACAGGGCTTTAATAGGACAAAAGTATGCAATTTTTTTATTTCCTACAACTTACAAGTGGCCGAAAGAGCTGAAATGGCATTCACGTGAACACAACAGAATCCTCTGCGATTTATTTGGTGTCGAAATTATATCCCAAACGTCGTGATATTTGCCTGAAACTCAACTTACCCAGCTCTCGTTTAGACTTCGAACCTTACTGCTTTCTCACCACCGTTTCAATGTTTTCTTGTTGTTCAGAAGGTGGTAGAGCCATTGCAGATAGTGATCTCTTTTACTTGAGAACCAGATCACAACACCCAAGCCTTATCACGCTAAAATACTAAACTACTGAAATTTCCTTCGCAGCCGTAAGCCGCCATTTTTTTCTTTTCGGTATACTTGTTCCCAGGCTTTGAGTTCCGATGGTCCATAGGCAGCCCAAGCTCCAACTGTGAGATGATCATCTTGCGCAATAACAGTCGTGGCGGCATTGTAAAAGTTTGGATAGGAATATCTACGACCGCTCAACGAATTAAAAACTACGTTAAACTCTCAATGAAAATACCTCATCTTACTTGCACAGCGTATCACTTGTTATCTGCCCGCTTACTTTCGTGAAAAGAACCCATTTTAGCAAGTTGTCCATTTCGAGGTTTTCCACGTACATAGGAAAAGCCTGCCCAAGCTCTAGCTGTGAGATGATCATTTGCGCGATAATATTCATGGAGAAATTATAAATATTCGTATGGGAATATTTACGACCGCTTGAAGGAATAAAAAAATATGTCAAATTCTCAATCGAAATACCTCACCTTACTTCCACAGCGTATCACATGTTATCTGACCGCTTACTTTCATGAAAAGAACCCATTTTAGCGAGTTGTCCATTTCAAGGTTTTCCACGTACATAAAAAACCTCGAAATGGACAACTCGCTAAAATGGGTTCTTTTTATGATAGTAAGCGGTCAGATAGCAAGTGATACGCTGCGCAAGTAAGGTGAGGTATTTTTATTGAGAATTTGACGTATTTTTTACTTCGTTAAAGTGGTCGGAAATATTCCCATACAAACTCTTATAATTCTGCCATGACTTCTATTGCGCAAGATGATCATCTCACAGCTGGAGCTTGGGCCGCCTGTGGACGGTCTCACACAACACAAGCCGTGAAGTTAAGCTATGCATAACTTTAGGGTCAATTAAGAAGTAGCGATAATCATAACTTTGGTATCGAGATCGTGTTGCTACACATAATGGCGGTCTGCCGATCAAATTTATCGCTCTTAGCGTGTCTTTTACTACTTTCATTTTCCACCATCGTAGAAACACAAAATGGGGACAGCGGTAAAGTCAAAGAGAAGGAAGCTGCCGAGAAAGAGAAGAAATACAGTGCGATCCACACGGCATTCCTACTTGTTATGATGTTTTTGTTGATTATCACTGTGCTAACTGTGTGGATTTTTAAAGTTAAGCGTTGGCGCTTTCTGCACGAGACAGGATTTTGTATGATATACGGTGAGTTCCCTATTATAGGTACCGTAGTTTCTCGGTTATAAGGCGCACAGTTTTTTCAAGAAAATTCTGTCTTATTGTTGAGAGAAAAAGCAGAGCTTTTTGGTCAGAGGTGTAGCGAAGATTGCATCAAATTCAATCCTTAATTCCTATGAATTAAAAAGGAATACTGCTTTCAGAACACTTACCAACTTCCATAGAAAAGTTTACATACGTGCTAAGCAGCACTTGCTCGCTAATATGATATCCAACTCAGGTCCTTCGGTCGGTAGCGTTCTATGGATGCACATTTTGTTATCCGCAGCTCACCAGAAAACAGGAAATGCTGCCGGTTGTGTCATTTTCTCTCCATGGATTCTGAAATGCCGTATTGACGGTCAATTTCACGATTGTTATTGACTATTGTCAGCAACAATTTTCAACTTGACGTTGAGATCATACGAGTGACGGCGAGCGCTTGGCATATTTGCGATCGAACACGAAGTTGAAGTTAAACTCTTACTGTTTATGATGAGTTTGACTGAGTTTTAAATCAGTTGGTTGATGTTAATAGAATGAAATCGGATCATTGAATATTTAATATTTAATTTTGTAAATAGAAGCATGTTTCCTAAGCAGGAAGGCTAAAACAAACGAGTATGCGTTTTATGTTTCTCTTTACAGGTGTGAAATTTTAGCCTTGGTTTTTACGTAGATCATTAAATCTGTGACTTTTTCACTTTTATTTACGTTAACAAAAGAGTTTGCATGCCAGTTGTGTAGGGATAATTGTTCTCAGTTCCATAACTTCCTTTTGTTAAGTCTCAACCTTTTGGTACTTCTAACAGCCGAGTATTTTCACATAATTTTAAGTTTGGGAACTTGGCTTGAATAAGTTGCTTAGTTTGGGGTGCGCTTATAACCGAGTGCGCCTTATAATCGAGAAACTACGGTATGTTCAGTTGAAGCACTGGTGGTAAAATTTTATCAAACAATACATAGCCTTTAAGAAAACAGATTTGGTTTACAATAGTATGGGGCTATGCGGAAGTTGGTGAAATTTCCGCACAGCTCCTTACTATTGTAAAACAAATCTGTTTTCCCAATGGGAATGTATTGTTTTTGTCATTGATTTCTCTAGCCAAGAACTGAATGCATAATTTATGATGGGGCTATGCGGAAATTTTACCCCGCTTGATCAAGTCCGCTCACAACTGACCGCCTGATATTACAGGTATCCGGCATATTGCCAAAACTTGCCTTAGAAATGGATAAATCTGTTTTCATAGCTTGCCCGCGTTTCAATAAATGTTTGATCCCCGTGGTAAACTTTCATTAAAATTATGTAGGAAGGGCTTCAAGCCTTTGCTAAAATCAGGGAATAGGGCTCTTGTGCAGAAAAAAACATTCATTAGTTTGTAATTTATTATCATTATCGCACAGTTAACAGTAAGGAAACTGTGACCGGAGAGAAGATTTTAAGGTCACATGTGGCGTGCTTGTTGACGCACAAGTTCCTGTGTGTAACAACTTCGGCTTTTCCAGACCGCGGATGATGGGAAACTCTGCCCCCCCTCATTTGAAAGGAAATATCAATAGCGCCATAAAATTCATTAACTGTGCCATGTTTCCAGAAAATAAGACGGGAACATGTTTTTTTCCACTTTCCACCATCAAGAAATTCCACGCAGAAATAGTATTTGAAGTGTGACTGGGTAATCTTTCAGGAGAAGTAAAAATTGTTTATCTTTATTTTTAGAAAACTCTTCTAGATAGTGTTTAATCCTTCTGTTATTTTATTTGCCCTTTTTTTGACTGCAAATATCGTCTGCATTCGCTATTAATTTTGCTGCTTGTCATGGCCTTTCCTGCGTGCACGTGCGAGCCAGTTGGTACACAGCACTCTTTCGAGTCTCTTTGCGTGGTGTCGGGCTTAAGTGTGTAGCAAGGGGACATTGGGGCCCATTAGAAATCGCAAAACCGTAGAAAACATCATCCAAAACCGAAAACCGTATGCAAAACTGTCCAAATCGATACATTTTCACACCCCAGTTGTTAAAACCCTAATCGATCCAATAGAGTGGTGACAAGTGGAGCATACAGAGTTTGCATACACTAATTTCATGACAGGATTTATGAATACCATGGACTTGGCATTCGTATCTT